AGGCCAGCTTGATCTAGACAGTCCCTTATGTAGACTCTTCCTAGGTCATTCTAGGTTGTGTCAGATCGACAATTAAAACTAATCATCACACATAAGTGGAATATTTAGTCATAAAAAAGGGAAGTACTACTAGTGTATGTTGTAACATGGATATATATTGGAGACATTAGAAGAAGCCATTAGCCAGGCAGTGGTGGCACACGCCTTTGATCCCAGCACTTGGGACACAGAGGCAGGCGGATTTCTGAGTTTGAGGCCAGCCTGGTCTACAGAGTAAGTTCCAGGGCAGCCAGGGCTACACAGAGAAACCCTGTCTCAAAAAACAAAAACAAAAAAAAAGAAGAAGAAGAAGCTATAACAGAATACATAGAGTAAGCAATTCGTACAAGTAGGAAATAGATTTTGGGCTTTGCAGTTATGCAAGAAGTGACAAGAGATGGTAAAAAATGGTCTGGAATTAGCAGCGAATATCCTAACTAAATTGCATAGGGATGAAATTAGCAAGGTATGTTTTAAATACTTTGGGTTAGTTGGTTGTTTTATTTTGTTTTTTCAAGACAGAGTTTCTCTGTGTAACCCTGACTTTCCTGGAACTCATGCTGTAGCCCACACTGATCTTGAACTCTGAGGCCCCTGCTCCTGGCTCCCAAGTACTGGGACTAAAGGTGGGCACACCACCCTTAAACTGATCTGCTGCCCTCTACTTTCAAGTCTGGAATATCAGCCATCTGCCCCCACAGTGGGCCTCTTGCTTTTGTTTAGTTTTATTTAAGATTATTTTTCTCTTCATTTTTGTGTGCGTGTGTTTTGAGGGTATGAGTGTTTTGTTTTTGTGCATGTTTTGGAGGCCAGGGATCAGTGTCAGTTGTTTTCTTTAATTGGTTTCTAACTTTGGGAGAGAGGAGAGAGAAAAATTTCTCACTAGCTGTTAATCTGGGCATCCTAATTTTTTGTTTTGTTTTGTTTTTTTTTGTTTTTTTTCGAGACAGGGTTTCTCTGTGTACCCTGGCTGTCCTGGAACTCACTCTGTAGACCAGGTTAGCCTCGAACTCTCGAACTCAGAAATCCGCCTGCCTCTGCCTCCCAAGTGCTGGGATTAAAGGTGTGCGCCACCATCGCCCGGCTATGTTATTCTTTCCATATTTTTTCACACTACATTTTCTTTTTTTTTTTTTTTTGTTAGTTAGAACTCTGTGAGAAAAAAACCATTCTCCTTGCCAATAATTTGTGATACTACATAGATTACATTTTCTATGTTTTCAAACTTAAATTGCTTTTAACTGTAAATTTTTTCTTTCAATAGATGGAAGACCTCATTGGGAGGCTGAAGGGAAAATAATCAGAGAAAAATGTCAAGGGGTAAGAAATTTACCTTAATTATTTAATTAGTAAGAAGTATTTAAAGTGGGCTGGAGAAATGGCTCAGTGGTTAAGAGCACTTGTTCCTCTTGCAGAGGACCTGGGTTCAATTCCTAGTGCTCACATGATGGTTCACAACCATCTGTAACTCCAGTTCCAGGCATCCAGTCTCCATTCCTGATCTCCTCAGAAATCAGGCATACACATGGTACATTATATATATATATGCAGGCAAACATTTATCCACATAAAATTTTAAAAATATATAATTCTTAAAGAAGTATTTTATTTAAAAAGTAGTGTTTAATGATAAGCATGGTGACATATGCCTTTAATACCAGAACATAGGAGATAGAGGTAGGCACTTGACTGTGAGTTGAGGGCCAGTCTAATGTTGATAGTGACACCTTATCTCTCCACAAAAAAGAAAAAATATTTAAGAAACTTAGGAGAAAATTGAATAATGCAACTTTATAGTATGGGAAAGAATGAGAAAAAATAAAAATAAATCAGAATTTTTATTAGTTTGGAAGTGTGATACTTTTCTGGTATTCAAATTAAAGTTTAAGAAAAATAAACAAGCTAGGCTGTAGTGGGCCATGCCTTTAATCCCAGCACCCTGGAGGCAGAGGCAGACTAATCTCTGAGTTTAAGGCCAGCCTGGTGTACACAGTGAGTTTCAGAACAGTGAGAGCTAGACAAAGAAAACCCTGTCTTCTTTTTTGTTTGTTTGCTTGTTTGTTTGTTTTTTGTTTTTCGAGACAGGGTTTCTCTGTAGCCCTGGCTGTCCTGGAACTCACTCTGTAGACCAGGCTAGCCTTGAACTCTCCAACTCAGAAATCCGCCTGCCTCTGCCTCCCAAGTGCTGGGATTAAAAGCGTGCACCACTACCGCCTGGCTGAAAACCCTGTCTTGAAGAAAGGAATAAACAAAACAAAACAAAAGCAATTTATATCTTCTCTTTGGTGTAAAAAAAAGAAAAAAATGGAAATGAAAGGCTAGAAATGGAAGACCTTACATAATAGAAGTGTCACTAAACTGAGCACGGCGCCCCACACTTATAATCCCAATAGAAGCAGCAGAATCCATGATTTACAGGCTAGCTTGGTCTTCATGGGGAAGTCTAGGCCAGCCAAGGCTACATAGTGAGACTTTGTCTCAAAAAATACCAAAGAATGTGTATAGTATGCTAGCTTGTAACTACAGCACTCAAGGGGCAGAAGATAGAAAGAGTAAGTCTGAGGCCATCTGAAGCTAAATAACAAGTCCAAAGCTAATATGTTCCTCCTAGCCCAGCAAAGCAACTATGCTGTCTAGTTTTAAGTCAGCTTGCTACAAGAGCTTGCTACAAGAGGGAGCTTCAATTAAGAAAATGAGAATATTGTATTATATATAATATAATTATAGCCTCAATTGAGAATATGGAGAAAGCTTCTGTAAGATCTATAAGGCAAGCCTGCCTGTAGGGCATTTTCTTAGTGATTGATGTGGGAGAGTCCTGCTCATTGTGGGTGGGGCACCCCTGGGCAGGTGCTCCTGGGTTCTATAAGAAAGCCGACTGAGCAAACCATGGGAAGCAAGCTAGTAAGGAGCACCTGTCTGTGACCTCTGCATTAGCTCCTGCTTCCAGGTGTCTGCCCCTTTTGAGTTTCTGTCCTGACTTCCTTCCATGATGATAGTAGTAATGAAGTATAATCTAAGTGAATCATTTCTTTCCTGAGTTGCTTTTGTCATGGTCACGGTTTTGGTTTTTGTCATGGTGTTGTAGCACACCAATATTAATACTAACTAGAACAGTAACCATACTTCTTTTTGAGTAGACAGGGCCCTTTTCTTAATAAATACCAATTTTGCTTGCAGTGGGACAAGCCTCTAGTGATTTGTCCTAACACCAGAGCTACTCATTAATCCATTGAGCTTTCCAGAACCCTTACTAGAACAACCTGTAGTCTTGCATCTTGACTGGAGTAGACACAGTGTTTTCTAGACTAGGAAATAGCACTTTCCACAATGCTTCCTAAAGACTTGGAAAAGTCAGGTCGATGATTAGATTTGATTTTGGATAAAGATTTTTCACTTTTTGTATGTGCATATAAGTTTTATATACTTCCAATTTAGATGTTTTGAATATAAAACTCATGCTAAGAAATCTAAACTAGGGGCTGGAGAGATGGGTCAGCAGTTAAGAGCATTTGTTGCTCTTCCAAAGAACTTGAGTTTGGTCCCCAGTACTCATGAGGTGACTAACCTCTCTTAACCCCAGTTCCAGAGGATACAACATCTTCTAATCGCCTTGGGTGCTGCACACATGTGGTGCACAAACATACTTGTAGGCAAATGCTTGTTTAAGTTTTTTTTTTTTCTTGGTTTGGTTTGGTTTTTCAAGACAGGGTTTCTCTGTGTAGTCCTGGCTGTCCTGGAACTCACTCTGTAGACCAGGCTGGCCTTGAACTCAGAAATCCGCCTGCCTCTGCCTCCCAAGTGCTGGGATTAAAGGTGTGCACCACCACTGCCCGGCTAAAGAAAGATTTATTTATTTGTATGAGTACACTGTGGCTGTCTTCAGACACATCAGAAGAGGGCATTGGATCCCATTACAGATGGTTGTGAGCCACCATGTGGTTGCTGGGAATTGAACTCAGGACCTCTGGAAGAGCAGTCAGTGCTCTTAATTTCTGAGCCATCTCTCCAGCCCCTTAAGTTTTTAAAAAAGAAAACTATAATACAACTTGAGAAATGTTAATCATGATCATACATTCAAGTGGGCTTCCTGTTTTTATATGTGTGTGTGTGTAGTAGGGGCTGCAGAGATGGCTCAGAGGGAAAGAGTGCTGACTGCTCTTCCAGAGGTCTAGAGTTCAATTCCCAGGAACCACATGGTGGCTTACAACCAGTGTTCAGTAGAGCCATGTATTTTAGCGCATAGTATATAATAAGACTTTATTTATTTTAAAAGGTATACAACGTAGCTCAGCCTGGCCTTGAATTTGTCATCTGTCTGCTTCTACCTCCTGAGTACTGTGGTTATAAATATGCATCACCATGCCTAAAGTCTCATATTTTTGCTCTAACTAGAAGCACAATGGGGATAAAAATCAGTTTCTTTAATGATTAATAAAGATTTTTTGTCTTTGTCAAGATATTTATATAAATCTCCAAATGACTTATTTGACTAGTTTATGTGCATAATTTTCTGTGATGTGGAAACCCTTGCATTAAGAGTTAAGTTTCATGAGTTGCTCTGAATTTGGCAGGTGCATTTCATTTTTAGTTCTGAGTATAACACAGTCTTCCTTTCCTTGTTCCTTAGGCTCACGTTGTCCTTGAAGTTCCTCCTTATCATAACCCAGCAGTTACATCTGCTGTGCAGGTGCACTTTTATCTTTGCAATGGCAAGAGGAAAAAAAGCCAGTCTCAACGTTTTACTTATACACCAGGTACAAGAAGTGATGGTTTAGAGTTTTCTTTTATAATAAGAATCTTACATTAAAATGTTTAATGTGATACAAACATATTCTTTTTTTTAGTGTATAGAAAAGAGTTTATTGGTTATTAGACATGGATTCATTTTGCATGACTTTATGCAATGTGTCAATAGCAATCTTACAAATTTTTCTCTTTAAAATTTTATTATTTAGGGAAAAAATATGGAATGCTTCACGAATTTGAGTGTCATCCTTGTGCAGGGGTCATGATAATCTTTTCTGTATTGTTCCAATTTTAGTATACACATGTGCTGCCGAAGCGAGCACGCCAGCACACTCTTGTTGTCGTCGTTCTGCTGTTGTTCTCTGTGTAGCCCTGGCTGTCCTGTAGCTGGCTCTCTAGACCAGGCTGGCCTGGAACTCAGAGATCCGCCTGCCTCTGCCTCCCGAGTGCTGGGATTAAAGGCGTGCACCACCATTCCCTAGCTTCTGTAGCATTTTTATTTGACAAGTCACAGTTAGACCAGCCTGTGAGCTATGGAGGATACAAAGGCAGTGTCAAGAGTGCTTGTTTTGGGATACCCACTAATCAAAACATGTATCCTGACCTCGTTTTGCAACAATCAAAGCTATTTAATTTTCCAGTTTTTTTGTTTTTGTTTTTTTTTTTTGGTTTTTCAAGACAGGGTTTCTCTGTGTAGTCCTGGCTGTCCTGGAACTCACTCTGTAGACCAGGCTGGCCTCGAACTCAGAAATCCGCCTGCCTCTGCCTCCCGAGTGCTGGGATTAAAGGCGTGCGCCACTACCACCCGGCTCCAGTTTTTTTTATTATGACCTAAATACTATATTTAATATATACTAATGATTAAGTAGTTAAAGAACAAATATTTATACAAGTCTTCTCTGTGGTAGACACTGTGCTTGTCACCAAGGCAGATATGATGATGATGATGGTGATGATGATTATGATATGGACCTTTCTCTTCAAGAGGAAACTTTTAAAATTTAATTTAAATTTTTACGTGTATGGGTATTTTGGCTGTATAGATGTCTGTGTACTGATGTTGGTGGAGGCCAGAAGAGGGCTTCAGATCCCCTGGATCTGGAGTTACAGGTAGTTGAGCCCCAGGTGGGTGCTGGGAATTGAACCTTAGGTTCTCTGCAAGAGCAACCTATGCTCTTAACCACAACCATCTCTCCAGCCCCTCTTGCAGAAACTTTTACCTTGTATATACTAAGAGTCTCAATTTTATTTCATTGTTCATTTAGAAGGGCTTTATTGTTGTTGTGTTTTCTGTTTTTGTTTTTTAGACATGGAAGGGCTCACTCTGTAGCTGGCCTGGGATTTACTCTGTAGTTCAGGCTGACCTAAGACTGTTGATAATCCTCCATCTCAGCCTCCTCAGTGCTAAAATAATAGGTATATGGTACCATGTAATACTGTTGATTATTAAGGGTTATTCATTTGTCATATATTTCATTTATAGTCTGTAAAAACTTTATAGTTTCAAATCTTTTTTGTTTGTTTGTTTGAGACAGGATTTTTCTGTGTAGTTCCAGCTGTGCTGGAACTCATTCTATAGACAGGCTGGCATTGAACTCCCAGAGATCCTCCTGCCTCTGCCTCCTGTAAGGCATGCATCACCACACCTGGCTTGTTTTCAAATCTTAATCATACATAGCTCTTGTGGTTAATGGCATCATAGAACTTTATAAGACCTAAAAGACACATGTATTAACAGGGAGGTGACATCATATTCAGGGCTTGAGATGTAGCTTGTTTACTTTTTGATTGTTTGATTTGTTTGATTGTGTTTTTTTGTTGGTGGTGGTTGGTTGGTTGGTTGTTGTTGTTGGTGGTGGTGGTGGTGGTGTGTTTGTTTTGTTTTGTTGCTGTTGTTGTTTTTACTAGTATGTGTTAGCCCTGGGTTCAATCTCCAGAACCACCTAGGGACTCCATATAATTCATCCAAGCACTTTGGAGGCAGAGGCAGGAAGGTAATGAGTTTCAAGCATGCTTGGGGTACATAGCAAGTTCTACGGCCTTCTGTGTCAATAAGAAGTCTAGTGGCTTGTTTTTGTTTTAAATTTATAACTGTGGAGTTAGATTTATGTTTGTTTTGTTTTTGTTTGTTTGTTTTTTTCGAGACAGGGTTTCTCTGTGTAGCCCTGGCTGTCCTGGAACTCACTCTGTAGACCAGGCTAGCCTCGAACTCTCGAACTCAGAAATCCGCCTGCCTCTGCCTCCCAAGTGCTGGGATTAAAGGCGTACGCCACCACCGCCTGGCAGGAGTTAGATTTATGTATCAGCTCACGGAAGTTTAAAAAATGACTCAGACAATAAAAAAATGTTTTAAATATTCAGGAATGGGAGTATCAGTGATGGTTAAGAATATCAAATTTCAGGCTGGAGAGATGCTTTAGTGGTTAAGACCACTGACTGCTCTTCCAAAGGTTCTAAGTTCAATTCCCAGCATCCACATGGTGACTCACAACCATCTGTAATGGAATCTAATTCCCTTTTCTGGTGTATGTGTGAAGACAGTGCGCGTGTGTGTGTGTGTGTGTACGTACATATATATATGTATGTATAATAAGAATAATTTAAAAAAAAAATAAAGAATATCAAATTTTTCCCTAGTAGAGGTAGGCAGATCTCTGTTAAATTGAGGTCAACCTGGTCCACATAGTGAATTTCAGGACAGCCAGAGCTACATAGTGAGAACTTTCCTCAAAACAAAACAAAAAAGTATCAGATTTCTGAAGAAGATGGAAAGGAATAAGATTTTAGAATATAGAGGTTGAAGCCAGGCATAATGCTACATGTATATAATACATACTCAGAAAGTAAGACAGGTAAGAATATCATGAAGTTTATCCTGACCTATGTAATGCGACCATGGCTCTAGCAAACTAGAGGTTGGAATACACTGAAAAGGATAACAACTCTGATTCCCATACTCATGAATTTGTAGGTCCCCTCTCTCCTGGTTGTGTTTACTTTTAGGTTGTGGGGTTTTATTGTTGTTGTTGCTGCTGCTTGTTGTTGTTGTTGTTAGTTGGTTTCTTTGTTTGTTTGTTTGTTTGAGACAGTCTCATTGTGTATCGGACTGACTTGAAACTCCTGGAGATCTGCCTGTCTATGCTTCTGCTTCCTGAGTGCTAAGAGTAAGACATGCACTACCACGTCCAGCTGTGTAACTTTATGTTGCTGTACTCAGAAATCAAAGTACTGTTGTAATGAAACTCATCTCTCTCTTGAATAAGGAAGAATGCTTCTGTAATTGCAAAAAAAAAAAAAAAGCACTATGATTAGCAAATTAGAGGTGTTGATTACTTCCTAGTAGTGGTAGTAATTAAAAGACAAAAGCAATTAAGAGAAGCTATGCTGCTTTGATGTTACCGTCTCATGAATTGGGAGAATGCTATAAAGATATAATTCTATTGGCAGTACATATCAAAATGAAAATCAGTAGAGTCTCAGGATGGAGAAGAACATTAGATTGGCCTAGCACTACCGCCAAGCTGTAGCTTCGAACTTGCTGTGTAGCAAAGGATGGCCTTAAATTCCAGATTTTCCTTCCTTTACTTCCTAAATCCTGGGGTTACAGGCATGCACCACCACATTCAGCTGCTTTTGTCTCCTTTTTAGTTCACTTTAAAGCAATCAGTTTCATAACCAAGGTCTCCACTTATCAGAGTTAAGGGATGAGAATAGTGAGCCATCCTGCCTTCCTTCTCTCTTTTGCACCCCTCCTCCCCCTTTTCCTCCTTTTCTTTTCCTAGCCTTCCTCCCCTCCCCCCTTTAAGATAGGGTCTAACTTGGAAATCAGAGATCCATGTGTCTCTGACCTCTGAGCGCTGGGATTAAAGGCAAGAGTCACCAAGCCTGGCCTTATGTATTGGTTTTGTGTATTGCAATGTTAATTTGTTTATTGGTTTCTTAGAGATTTTGGTAGTTTTTCTTTTTTTTTTTTTTTTTTTTTTTTTCTGTAAATTAACCCGTTTATTGCAGGGCAGGCGAGTCTCAGGCGGTAGGGCTTCTACTGGTCTTTCAGTTCCTTCAATCTTCTGATGGCAGACTTCACTGTGACTGCAGAGGTGGTGTTGTAGGTCCAGGTCCCACCAGCCACCGTTTTCATGCAGGAACCACAGTGCCAGATGCCAACAGCTCGTCTCTTCATCTTCGTCTTGCCGCAGAAGGAGCAAGTATACTTAGCGTGCTGGCTGATTTCAATTTTCTTCACCATTTTCCGGAGGGAGGCCCCATAGCGGGTCCCGTATTTCCCGACGATCCCAACCTTCTTGGTGCGTTTAGCCATGTCGCCAGAACCGAAGCCCAAGCCCTAGTTTTTCATTTTTTACATTATTTTTTCCTGTTTTTTGTTTTGTTGTTTTGTTTTTCTTTAGACAGGGACTAGATAGCCCAGGCTGTTCTTAACTTACCACATGAGAGAGAGGTTTCAGATTGGGAATTCTAGGTTCGGTGCTTTATAGGCCATAGGATTATTTTTGGTGGCTTTTCTTGTTGTTTTTTATTTAGCAATCACCCTCTTCTTTTTTTTCTTCTTTTTTGAGACAGGGTTTCTCTGTGAAATATTGGCTGTCCTGAGACTCACTCTGTAGATCAGGCTGCCCTCAAACTCAGAGGAATCTGCCTGCCTTTGCCTCCTTAGCACTTGGATTAAAGGCGTGTACCACCACTGCCCAGCCATTAGTCTCTTTTTAAATTATGTTTTAAACATTTCTCATCTGTATGTGCACACCTGAAAATTTATTTCTGAGTGATAAGCACTGTGCTTGCTGTATTATTTGTAGGTCAGAAGACAACCTCAGGTCTCAGATGTCATCCTTCCCTTCCATTTTGTTTAAGAGAGGGTCTCTGTTTAGTTTTTGGGCACTGCTTATGTCAGACTAGCTGGTATATGAGCTTCTAGAATTCTCTGGTCTACCATCTCTCAATTGCTCAAGCAGGACTGGATTACCAAGGGCCTGACTTGTCTGTTTGTTTGTTTTGCATGGGTTCTGGGGATTCAAACTCAGGCCCTCACAATTATGCAGCAAGCATTTTACCTAATGAGCCAAATCTTCAGCACCTCCATAGTTAATATTTAAGTTAACATAAAGGTAGTAGGTTTCATTATGGTATTTTGTACATAAATGTCATCTACTTTGCTTTTGAGACAAGGTCTCACTAAGTATAAGTAGCCTTGCTTGGTCTAGAACTTGTCATGTATACCAGACTGACCCTGAACTCTGAGATCTGCTTGTCTCTGCCTCAGGAGTATTGGGATTAAAGGTGTGTGCCATTATGCTTAAGTCTGTTT